CTTCCCCGTCCGCTACACACACAGGAAAAAAGATGGTGCGCCTTAAAAGAAGAGAGAGAAGGAGAAAGAACCTCAGATAAACGAGTCATTTGCTCTATAATCAGAATTGAATGGTGTAGTTATTATTTTTGCCAAAATGTCCCCTCATCCGTTTTCCACTGGAGTAGTGCTTCTTTGATTTCTGTTGGAAGGATAAAGAAGATACCTGAGTATGTGGATATTTGTTCTCTATCTTTTACACACCTCCTTTAATTGACAATAGATTTTGCTAGGCATGCTAAATTTTGCTCATTTTTGAACATATATGTTGCATTATTACTGCAGTTGAAGAGTACGTAAGATCGTGGGAGCAAAACGAGGAGTTGGGTCTTAATGACATGGACACCACCTCAGCTGATGCTGCTTACAGTTCAGCAGATGTTGCACCCAGTGAGAGAGCTGACAATTGATGAATTTGTGCTTAGCGGTTTTCTTGTATACTGCTCTGGCCTTGAAATCTGAGGTTTGAGCTTCCTTTCGCCCCCATGAAGTTTTGTTTCTTCAATTGATGAAATCACCTTGATTAAATTTTGCGTGTTGGTCTTTCTTTTAGCTTTATAGATGTAAAATTTCCAAGTTATTATTTTCCTTTTGCCTTTGGACAAGGTCAACCTCATTCCAGCAGTGTTGATTATGAATGATGAATTATGGTATACCTATATTTTGTATTAATGCAAAATTATATGTAGTTTATTGGCCTATTTAATTTTGCTAGAGCTAACTGTTGATTGTTCCTGCATATGATTGTATAGATTGGGTTTAGAACCATAAAAGATTGCCAACGCCTGCAGCCGTGTCTACATAGAACTCCTTTAAATTGAGAGACAAACATTTTAATTAGCTTGTCTCTCTGAGTCCACAAAACGCGAGACAACAAAGAGGCCTTACACAACTAGTGTCGGCTGTATGAGCCACACCAGGGTCGGATTTAGGGGGGCGGAAGGAGTTCATCCGAATCCCCTTCGCCGAAAAATTACAATGTATATATAAGGTAAAATCTGTTTTTTTACCTTTGTATATTAAGTTTTGAACCCTCTTGACATAGTTCAAAAGTGTAGCTTAGTGGTTAAGGGATTCAAAATCTTTGAAAGGTCATAGGTTCAATTCCCACTAGTTACGATTTTTTTTTTTTCTTGATAGGGGTACATGTTGCTCTCGATATTCGCTATGGCACGTACCACACTCATTTGTGAACGAAATTTGTACATCTGAATCACGTTTCTGCCGTATCATTTCCTAAATGAAGCAAAAAATAACAATGACAATTGTTTAAAATTATAATGACAAATTCTTTTTTAAAAAAAAATAGGTGTAATCGGATCGAGATCTGGCCTAGGAAATTATGAAAACGTCAAGCTCTAGTATATAATCTAAAAAACTGTCGTAACAAATGACAGATGAGCTACACTGGAATGATGAAAAATACTTATCATTCGTATCTAGTGTATGCAACAAAGCAAGGAGAGCATAATATTTGTTTTTTTTTCTTTTTCGCATATTTTTTTTTGGTGTTCAGTGCTTGCATTGAGTTTCCCTAAATTCGGATTCGCACCGGAAAATCCTACATTAGGATTAAGTATTCCTAACAAATGTGACTCCTAATAAAATTCTGTTCTAACTTATGCGTTATGCACATGTATATTTTGCATAAGATTTCACATATATTAGTGTGCATTAAGTGGGGACAAGTATATGAAATTATTGCCTTGAATCTCAAGATGACTGTTTCAAATAAGTAATTATTGAGTGTGCGTAATATTTGTGCATTTTTTTTAATAACAATCATAATAAAATTGTACTCTAGTATATTCCAATTTCCCATCATTCCTTTTTAAGGCAACTCCCAGTAGTTTGTCTTTAGTTTCACAAACTCACTAAAATTTTCTCTTTTTGCTCAAATCTGTAATCACTTAATTCATTAAAAACTATATAAGATCAGTCGGTCAAGGTTACATGTTATGTTTGCATTCAAATTGAAATAACTTTAGTACAATTAAGTAATACTAACTGGTAATGCACTAAAATTAAAAAAGGAAACTAAAATAAAATCAACAATCCAATTATTTCAAATTTTACCTTTTGCTTTCCGTCCTTTAAATAAAGCAATGATGTTATTAAACTATTCCTCAGCCAAAAATCTAAATATGGAACTTGAATGATGTCTCTGATGCTAAATTGATGCCTCACTGTAAATGCAACTTCTTCAACTAGACACTATATAGTATATACTAGCAAAATATACGAGACTGGGGACCAAAACTTCATTAAATTACATCTTCATCTCATGGGTTTAATTAGCTGTGCAATTCAAAAATGGGCCCTTTGGATTACCTGTGTAAGTACGGTTTCCCAGAAAGAGTTTAAGTCTTTATAAAATCAGCAGCATTAGCAAAGTGTTAAAAAGGGGGACAGGGAAAAAGTAGATTACAGTGGAAAAGAGATAAAAAAAGGTAACACGCGTTGCTTTTTGATTCGCCAAGGTATGTACACCTGACTCACGTTTCCACTACACACCAAGGGAAACAGAAAATAAAATCATAAAGAAAATTGTTGAATTTTTGTATATCACTGCCCTTGGAAACGAAGAAACGTGACTTAATCAAATTCTATAATGTTATAATACAACCTCTTCGGTGTGTCACATCTAAAAATTACAAAAGCAAAACTTGATGTTACTCCTCAGAATTTTCACGATATTGACTTTAAAATTGGAATGGACAATATTCAGTCCAATGTTCAAATATACTTTGGGTTAATGTACCAAAAATAATATGTTTTGGCTTAATGTAATTTATTTTTACATTCCATTTCACTTTCTTTTTACATTATCTTTTCAAATTGTTTATTCAGCTTTGTTACATTTTTCTAAGAGTTTACTAAACCACTAAATAGAAGATAAATTAATAGTTTTACAAAGAAAAGATCGGGGCATGCCATCAAATTAAAGATCGGGTGGCTTTGGTTTCTAAGTCAATTTAGAGTGATATGCTAATTTTTACTATAATATCCATTTCGTTTTTGCAAAACTAGGTCTTTTTAACCCTTGAGTTATTATATTATTCTAGTTTTAGTTCCTCTATTAATTATTGAGCATATTTGGCACAATTAAGATAAATATGCATTTTAATCGAATGATTAACGGAAGCTTAGAGACATTAACATCTATTAAGGGCAATATCGACTATGGTGAACATATAAAGGTCCGTGTACTCTCACTTACGTATGTCAATGGACGGGTTGAGTTGATTTTGGGCGGGTCAAAATGGACTGAGTCAATAAACGAGCGGATCATAAAGCAAGTTGATTAGGTCAAGTTGGGCTAAAATTTAGATCATAATCCAAACCACTCAATTCTTACCAAGCTTTAATTAATATGTATTATTTTCTTATATATTGTTTAATAATCAAATAAGATATTTTTCTTTTGTATGGTCATATATAATATATCAAACAAAAAAATTATTTTAACGATATTTTAGCAAAGTTACTCATTGATCAATTTGGACAAAAATCAGTTTAACTTTAGATGAGTTCAACAAATAGACGAATCAATGACCACCCCAACCTTGAACGGGTTGGCGGATCATTGATTACCCAACTTTGGACGGATTTGGGCTCAAATTGTCACCCTATGATGTGTTTCCCAAGCAATCTCACATGACTTGCATGAGACTTAAAATTTTCTGTTAACCAAACAAAAAAACAAAAAAGGAGAATGCAATATTGCTTGTAAAATAGTCCAACTAGAATACCTAACGTTCCAACTTGAAACAGACTTTTGGGAAAGGTTAAACGGACTAACTTGATTAAATTCTTCAATACAAAACTATTCAAAATATCTTATAAAACCACCAGTAGCCATCATCTTCCGTTTGATAAAGCCATCATTTTTATATGTCAAGAGAATGGGCCAATAATTGATTGTTATCATCTCCTTTTTCTTTTTTCATCTATCTATATATACCTTTGAGTTTCCTCCATTTCCACACCACAACTGGAAAGCTAAAAAAAGAAGCAAAGATGGCCTTGACTCTGAAGTCTTTAGCAACTCCTTTGCTTTTGGGTGCTTTCTTTATCCTTGTATTGCAGGTTTGCTTCTTCATTCTTTGAACCTTTCTACAGTAGGAGTATTTCTAATTATGGGTAGTCCTTGCCTATTGAATTGATGATTTTGTTTAGGTGGATTTAGCGTATTGGTTTAATAGCTTTTGATGATTTTACAATTTATATGGATTACCCTTTTCGTATTTCTTCAGAAAGATCAAAGATTATTGGGTATTTAGGACATCCTATGCTTTAGTTAAGCGTTGACTTGAAATCATGAGTAGAAGTAAATTTTAATAATTTTCTCATTACCTAGTGAGAATGAGAAAAGAGAAGTATAGACATGTTCCTGCAGTTAAATATATGGTTTGATGCAAATTACTTATGTGTTAGTTAACTTACATGTTTCTATATATAACATGAGAGGAAGTATTGCTTCACAAAGAAATACAGAAAGGGCAGAAAATGGACGAAAAACAATGGACTAGTTACAGTTTCTGCTTTGCTCTATGATTCTTCCTCTACGTTATAGTGCTTTAGACATATGATGCATTTGCTACAAATTTTTAATTAATTTTCCAGGTTAATAGTATTATAATGTTGAAAATAAAAATTGTGGAAGTGTTTCATCTTGATTAAAGTGAAACCTTTAGTTCTGCGTTTGTGACCCACTGTGTCATACTTTTGTTCCTGGAGTTTCAACTCTGTTTCCTAAAAGCTTTTAGCTTGTCTATTGATGAATAGAATTGATGTGTTCTTATGGAAAGCAGGTTGTTGCAGAGAAGCCAATATCTGAAGCTAAAGTTGAGTCTGCAATCCTTAAGGTATATTCTTCTGTTCATGATTAAAGAAGATGTTAGTGCCCTTGTTGCTTCAAATTTAAAACTTAAGAGCGCTTTTTGGATGATCGTGTAGGAATCTATCATCAAAGAGGTTAATGAAAATGCCAAAGCTGGATGGAAAGCTGCATTCAACCCTCAATTCTCGAATTTCACGGTCAGATCATCATATATCTTAGCGCTTTCTCTAACCATCAACAACAGTTGCTTATTTTGTTGCTATACACTGAAAACATGCATTTATAATTATGTCCATCTTTGGTATTCACAGGTTTCACAATTTAAGCGCCTTCTTGGAGTTAAGCCCGCACGAGAAGGTGATTTGGAGGGAATTCCACTTCTAACTCATCCTAAACTTTCGGAGCTACCAAAAGAGTTTGATGCACGAAAAGCTTGGCCTCAATGTAGCACTATCGGAAGAATTCTGGGTCAGTTTCTTCTTGTTCTTGCTTACTACTATTGAATTATAATTCTATGATAGTGATCCTAATGCTTTCCGTCTTTGCACATCAATCACTGGGACAAATTTGCATCACAGATCAGGGACATTGCGGTTCTTGTTGGGCTTTTGGTGCTGTTGAATCGTTGTCTGATCGTTTCTGTATCCATCACAACTTGGTAAATTCTGTTGAACTGTGTGACCACCTCATTTAAAAGCTTTAGATGACGCATTTTTATTTACTTATTTATATATCTTCAGCATACTCTCTCATGTGCGAGCCCTGATTCTTTCTCATGGGCCAAGCACGTGGAAACTATCTTATATTAGCACAAAATGCTTGTGAAGTTTTCACTATAGTTAATGTCACTAATGTTAACTTTT